TATATATATATATATTGATCTAGCAATCTTGATTGCTAGATCAAGATTATATCTTGATCTAGCAATCAAGATATAAATCTATCTTGATTGCTAGAAAAGATCCCTGTGGCATAAATGCACCCTTAGATTATGTTAGAGTTTGAATTAAATAATCTACTTTAAATTCAACACCCTTAGGAGGTAAACAAAAACGAGAGGCATCCTCCTGCCAGTCTAAATACATCAAACGGACAATTACTGCCCAACAGAGAAAAACTAATTGAATTATATATTCGGCTGAGTACTGATTATCTTCCTAATTACAATGAAAGGATTCAACTTGATCACTGTCCTGCAACACATCCCATCTCCACAGCTGGATTTACCTAGCAGCCTATTTTGATTCGCCTATTGGATCATCACCTACCTGTTTCTGCTCACAGGTTGCAAAAGCAAAGCCAATAGGTAATATTGCAAATCAAAACAAACAGGACACGAGAAATATGGGTAGAGGCAAAATATGTACATAATACTGTCATTTCCAGCCATCAAGCAAAGGCCTCCAGGGGTCACTGACTTTCCCACCTGCCCTTGGGTGAGAGGCAGAGAATAGGCCGGACCTGCACTGCTCTGTCAGATGGATTAGCATGAATCAGACAAGCACACAGCAGCTGCCAGGTTAGAAACCCAGAATAACCTGGGTAAATGGGCTTTACCCAGGTTTACCCAGGAACCAAATGCACCACTACTTTGTCTTTACACCACGGGATGTGTTGTTTACACATGTGCTTTAGTTTTTTGGTAACTAAAGCACAATGTTTCTGAATCGATATGGAGGAACTTGCACTGCTAACAGCCGAGATCAAGATCCCAAAAGCACTTCTGTGACATCTACAGTATATCCTGATGCTGTGGTGAATATCTGAGGTGAAACCCAGAGCAGTAATTGAAGTAGGGGAGATTAAAACCACCTATCAATTCACTGATCTCCTGTCTGAAAGAAGACTATGCGTCATTGATTAGGACAAGAGAAACACAATTTTGTTTTGTTGTGTATTTTTTTTTATGTCAAATAGAGATAAATACTTGTAGATCGTGATTTTTAAGAAATACAATTTAAAGCTTTTCCTCAAGGGCCAATACCTTGCATGTTTCAGAACTTTCCTTGTCTTAAAATACCTCAATTAGTTCATTACCTGACCTGTATGGCATGTGATGACATGCAGTGATTGAACATGAACATGGATGGATGTGTCTGAATCAAAAAGCAAAGCACACACAAGAGGCAGGTTGGCAAATAATAAAGCATTTTCTTTCACAAAGTCTTGGTGTCAAGAAAAGAAATCAATGACATGCAAAACGGTGATGCATACAGAGAGTAAAAGGTGGACCTGACAAAGCTGAAAATCTAAAAAATAGAGGGTAAACACATTGCAGAGTGATTAATGCAACAATAAACACGTGAATCTAAATAACTAAATGTGGAACAACTGAAGGGGAGCATGAACTTATTGAGAATTAGTAACAAAAAACAGAGATAGGAGACTGTATTCCTTAACAATGTTGAGTTTCTATGAGTCTGTTGGTGAGAGTGCGATCTCTTCTGCCATCATTTGTTGTAGCAGCATCAGAGCCATGGACTTAAAAAGGCACAGCAACCTGATAAAAAGGCTGATTCTGTTCTGGGAACTGCTGGGGACTAACTGGAGACAACTGTAAAAAGGATCCTTCATGAAATCAAGAAAATTATGGATAACCCTGGATCCTCTTCAGTCAGAGACTTATTCATTACTGCTGTAACACAAACCACTACAGGGGATCCTTCCTGCTCACAGCAGTGAACCTCAACAGCAACTTTTTGAAGTTCAGTATGAGTTACAGCAGTGAAGTGTTTCTGAATTCAATTCAGATCAGAAAACCTTTGCCAGAAATGAGCAAAAGAATCCACTAAATGTAAGATCCCCCAAAACAAAGTAAAAAAAAAAACAGGAGACAAGATAACTTAACAGATCATAAGACAGCACCAGACAAATCTAGTGTACAAACACGAAATGAGCCCAAAATGGCAGAACCCTAGATCAAAGTGTCAAAGAAAAAACAAACTCTTTCACATCACTGCAATGTGCCCTTCAAAGGCCTCACAGTGGGGCTTGTTTGATTAAATTTGTGAACCAATTTCTTATCCTTATTGTGAATCACACCAGTGTGAATTGATAAAATTCAGTGTTTATTTACATTATTGTTCCCCCAGGTTAGTATTCACAACAATTTCACAGTATGCTGCAGAGCTACACAGTTGTTCACCTTGGCTGGTTGTCTATCAGATGCATCCCCTTCTCACTTGAGGTGAAAAGTTGAAGAATTTTAGTTTGATTTCTCATGTCAAACATATACAAGCAAAGGATATTACATTATGAGTAAGTAAATGTATTTCTTCTGAAAAAAAATTTAACAGCTATTTCAGCTGAAGACAACTCTTTCCCATAAACTTTCATCACTTTCCAAGCATTTCATGATAGGTTGGGGTTAAATAAACATTGTGTCCTGACAAGAAGGTCACCGGTGGTTAAGCAGGTAATTTGAAATTAATTGAAAAGTTGATAACCAAAAATTGATTTTCTGTTTTTTTCAGTGTGCTTCTTCACAAATTAAATATAGACCATGAGCAGTTATTAAAATAAATTCATTAAGCAATCTTACTCAGCCATGTCTATCTTTCTCACCAAGGCATCTGTGGGAAGTATTTCCAAGGGAGTCTGATTGCATTTGTAAATTTCACACTGCGTAGAGAACGCAGCCACATAAAATATTAACATTCACTTGTGCACTAATGACTTTAGCTGTTTTAATCATGGCGAGGACAGAAAAGCTTATTTGAACATCAAAAAAACACAAACATGAAAAACTAACATTAAGAAAGGCAATAAAGATTATCACCAGAGATCTGAAAACCTCTGGTTCAAAGGCTGCACATTCCTTGAAGCTGTAAAAAAAATACTTCCAGGACGTAGCAATGTGTGAAACCTCACAGAGAGAGAAGTCTGTTAATGTTTCTGTGAGTGAATTGTAAAAACACAAACAGACATGACATCTGAAGAGCTTTAGGCTGACGGATGAGAGACGTGGAGGCATGACAGGAAGTGGAGCAGCTGCCTAGAGACAAAACTGAAGACATTCTGCCACTTCTTATTTTCCCTCTGACTGATTGCTGCACATGTATATATAAAATAAATTTCTTTCACTTGTGTGAATCAGACCATTGACAGATGCAGTGTGCTGCTGAAGATTCAATCAATCAGACCATGACAATCTAACGTACTGAAATAGAAGGGTACTGTTTCACGTCCAAACAAAAAGAAAATGTGAAAAGCCTTTATAAACAAGAACAGTTCAGTTGTCTTTTATTCATCGCTTATGCTGTTGCAGTGAACATATAGACCTTTTATTTTTTTGAGTCATTCTGCTTTCAAAATCAATGAATGCTTGGCTGATTGGGTTCATCTTAAATAAGAACTTTATAAAATGATGTGGTGTGTAAAAAGAAAAAAAAAAAAAAACGTCAATATGATAAAAGCTTTACTGGGAAACCATTTCTGTTAAGGTGCAGTTCAAGAGGAGGATCAAAGCAAGCCCAGATCACAAAGCACCATACAAAAACAGACAGTTTATTCTGCAAGACATAATCTACAAAAAAAAAAAAAAAAAAAAAAAAATTACAAGTTTTGGTAAGACCCTCAAAGCTGAACTTTTTAAATTGATGCTTTGAAGTATGAACTTAACAAGAATCTGGTAAACTGCAGAAGTACTTTGTGATCCAGCTGCAGGCAAACACAAACAGATAAGTTTTACAAACTGTGAGCTGACGCCAGTCTTGGCCAGGATTCTCTTGTAAAAAGATTCTTCATCTCAATGGAATTTCCTGGGGAAATAAATACTAATGTCAAGAGAAAATATTATACAAATTTATTCTGCTTGTGTTTTTTTTGTTTGTTTGTTTGTTGTTGCTTTTTTTGTCCTGTTTAAATATTTCAGATCCTATTTATCCATACCAAACAAACAAACCTGAGTAAATTCCAAAAGTAGTTTTCTAATTATCTGCAGAGGGAAGAAAAGTTAATCTTCCCCTTTTTGTGCCATTGGTTACTTGTAATTCATTACATTTTTGGTACAATTACACTCACTAAACCTGGTCCTAATCTCTAATGTGGAGCCTGCCTGACATGATAAATTAGGCTACAAATCTAAAACAAGCAGTTCCTGTTGCTGACAGAAATTTTGTAAGAGATAAGAAGCAAAGCCATTGGCACCTACAAGTCTGGAAAAAGTTACAAAGCTCTTTCTAAGTTTTCGAGATTGCACAGTGAAGACCCTTTATCCACAAACACAAAAAACATTGAACAGTATGTGCCAAACTATTTCAGGAGTGATGGACTACCGACATCATTCCGAGAGTAGATTGATGGAAGGTCACAAAAAACAAGTACTACTAGCACTGCAGACTGAATAAAGAGACTAAATAAAGCTGGCATCGTTTGGAGAGATACAGGGAAAATCAACTGGAGAGCAAAAACAACATAAATACTCCTCTCCCAAAAACCCCTGATGACTTGTAAGTAAGCCTAAAGAATATTCTGTTGTCTGATGTGATAAAAGTGGAACTCTTTGGTAAATTGTGGGTCCTATTATATCTGGTATAAAACTAAAGAATTTCAGAAAAACGTATCAACAATCAAACAAATTGTTCACCAACTAAATATTTTTTTCACTAATAACTTTGTTCTTACTTTTAAAAATAAGGGATTAATAATTTAAGTATTAATTCTTAGTCTGATGTCAATTTATAGTAAAAAACCATTAAAGCTCTGAACAGACCACACTGGCTGAAATGGGAACATCAAACTGGTATTGCATCTGCATTCACAAATATCAATCTGTTTCTGGAAATTTGAAACGACAAGCAAGGAAATACTCACGCATTTCCTTGCTTGCTTAACGCTAAGCAAGGAAAAATCTTAGTAACGTGACACTGAAACAAAAGGTTTATTGTTTGAGTTTTGCAAAAGTGAAACGAACGTCATACAGGCTGATGAATCGAGCGACGAGTAATCGCTCATCAGTTATTCTTCGGCCCAGCTGAGTGTAGCAACTTCGTCATGTTTGCACGCGTGGGACGTTTAAATGAGAGGCGGTTGTGTTTTTGCACCCTAGTCCGAATTTGGGACTAATTTTTGTGTTGTTTTTTGAAGTGAACGTAAGAAAACAGGCGGCGAGTTTTAAGTAGTATGCTAGCAAGACGCGGCTAATGTGAAGCTAACGGCTAACCATTTGGGTTCGTACTGTTTTGATATCGCAGTTCGTATTGACAATACTGACGCATTTGTCCAGGATATACGATCATCTATAGCAGCCCGTTTTCCCGTAATGTTAACTCTGTTAAATAAGCATTAACGTAGGGATGATTGTCATCACTCCACAGCGTGCCTTGCCACCTGACAGCTAACTGTTTGCTACCTGTATACATTACGCTGCTAGCCACGTAAACTGCTTGGTGTTGACGTTGCAGGAGCAGCTAGAAAGCCTGTCCTCCCCAGGAGCTATTTACATTTTAAGTGACACCCAGCATTTATATTGACCCAGAAATCATCAGACGAAAACAACATCGACCCAAAATGCACTAGCTGGACTTGAAAGGGTGGCCAACTGGTTTCCTGGATCTGTTGCTTGGATCGGATGATGAAGCGGGTCTTCTGGCTGCTTTCAGGCTTAAACAGAAGAATGATGAAGCTACTTTTTGCTCTCGCTTTGATCGCGTACATTGCCTGTGAGTACATTGTTTTGATATTCTTTTGATTTATCAAACATGCTAATCTTAAAAAGAAATATCTCTTTACGATTGTTTTTCAACTACACACTGACACTGCTGTGGAAACTTCCAACCAACACAACAGGCTGCCGCAACTCCGTGTAGTGGCCAAGCACCCGGGATGTAGATTATGAAACCCGAATGGTTCCCATTTAGACAAAATAAGAAGAAAAAAAAAAAAAAAAAATACAGGTAGGAAAAAATAGGTAGCAGTATGGTTTCCTGGCAACAGTTTCTACGTTTCCTGAGAGTCGTAATGTATTTAATAGAAGAGAAATTCACAGTGTTAATGCTGAAATAACCGATTGTTTAACTGCTGAATTAGAGCTTGGATTTAAATAAAACGGGTTGGGTTTTTTTTTTTTTTACTAGTACTGTATGTTAGGCATGGATCAGTATCCAAAAACACCCCCGGTTTTACTGTATCAGAGTATTTTTACTAACCTTTTAAAACAAAAATGGAAATTATGTAACTAATTTATTAGAAACAGAAAGGCAGCAATTATTTTTACTGATACAAAAGGCTATACAGCATAGTGTTTATTTTGGGTCTCTGTAATATGTATTTATTGTGATTTCATTTGATATATTAACTTAAACAAAATTGAAGACTAAACACCCAATTAATTGAATAGTTTTAAAGTGCTTATTACATTCAATATTTGTTGTTTTATTCTGGTTATTGACTAAAATGATTATGCTTTGCTTTTAATACCTTGTTGGAAAGTCCTGGGGATACCCAGTATTTAATCAGCTCATGCCACTCATCATTTTAAAATAAAGTTATCTTAGTAAAAGATGGTGCTCATTTAATTTCCACACCATCACTCTTGTTTTTTGCAACCACAGATATTTCCAAACACTGTCTTGTAAGCGAGAGAAAACAGTAGTAGCCTTTGTTCAGCCTGCTGACTGGCAGTGTATTGCAAGTTATAGGCAAATAAGCATTGATGTGTTACTCTATGCTCTAAACATAGAAAATGCTCTCAAAAGCACTATAAACTAAAGGAAAGCTATGACAATATCTTTTTGGGGTGATTTTTGAAACAATATTTGTAATCTTAAATCTTCAATAATATCAGTAGCTGGCCCATGACTCCAGTGTGTTTAATGTTCTATAAATAGTACCGTGCAAGTGCCCAACAGTAACAGCTGTTGAGATTATCTGCCCATTTAACATAAAGGTCAAAATCTCAATATTAAGAATTTCTTTAAAAAGAAACAAAAAAAACCTGGGTTTAACAAGATCAATAATACAGAACCACATCTTTAGAAAAAAGAAAAAAAACTTGCGGGTTTACCCAAGGTACAAAGAATAACTGAGACCAAAGTCATTTCTTATGAACTTAGTTGATATTTGGTGAGCTACTTGTATGCCAAAACCTGTAACATTTGCATATAAAGCACATTTAAATTCTTTAGAGTGATATTTAGTAAATTCCTAGAAACATTGAAGATCAATTGATGTTGGTCAAAACATTATTAGTTTATTGATTCATGAAGATAACAGCAGGGCTTCCAGGAGATACTAAAGCAAAACTCTTTGGTGTGATTATAGATCATAGGTTTAGTTGGACTGATTAAATATTGGCAGTTGGATGAGCGGCATTTCTTTGTTCACGAAACAAACCATCTTCAAATCAATTTAAGTGACCGGACAAATCAGATATGACCTACTTAACCTGTCATCAGGTCAATCATTCATCCCAGTTTTATGCTTCTATTTCTATTCTTAACAAGGCCAAGGAATAATTCCCCACATTATGCTAGTGATATGGTTACCAACCTGTGGGAACATTCTGAAAGGCAACGCTGCGTTAACAAACACATCAAGATAATCTCTGTGAAACCTTACTGTGCTGTCAGGTGATTGCTTTAAACTAAGAAAAGATAAATATGTTATCATTATTACTTCTCTTAAAGGAGCTACTGTAAAAACATGCCCCACTTATTCAGACCTGGATATTGGGTAGTGTTTAAAAGTTTAACAGAGACCATGCCTCCAGGAAGCAATTGTTTCTCAATACCACCCCCTTTGTACCAAGCGAAGCGTAGAACAATGGGCTGGTTTTACCGGGCTGCATAGACGCCAAGTTCTTCTGGAAAATGAAATTAGATCAGCTGAGGGAAGTAAGACGCGCTTTAAAACTTCCTGAAAGTCGACTGATAAGAATGGTGGAGGACGTCAATAAATGTCTGCTGGGTCAGTAGTTTTTCCTGTGACTGTGTAGACAACAACGAAGCATTTCTTGAGTTAATTTTGGGTTTTCTTCAGCTGCAAGTCATGATCATCAAAACCAATTTAAATAAACTCCTCAGATCTTTCAGTCTTATAATGAGTCTGACATTAATGAACTTTTAATGACGTTTTAATTTATTGAGCTGCGTGTCTATGTTAGAGCAGTGGCCCACTGCCCTGCGTGTCTCATGCGTTTCCCTGCCTCTGCACACTTGACCTAAATAAATGGATGATTGCCCATCCATCACATCTAAAACATGAAGGGCAGTGGGTCTTGACGACCAGGACTGAGAACTGCTTCGTCGAATGACAACGTACATTTTGGGGCTGGATACACACTCCTACCTTTGTTCAGCATGAGATCAAGTCTGGGTCACAACATTGAAAAGCTTTACGTTAGTTAGGATTAGTATAAAATATGTACTTTTTGTACTCTTGCCAAAAACTACAAAGTATGTAAAAATAAATAAGTAAATAAGGCTAGGTCCCCATGAAAAGATCCTTTGTACCTTTGCGCTGGGAAATTCATATGTTGCTAATGTACTGCAGTTGACATGCCTCAGCAAAAATAGATGATTTTTGCCCCTTTTTCATAGAGTGGTAGCTATACAGCTTTACACTGTAGCAACTTGTTCATATCTTGTTGAGCTGTCAAATTTCGACCTATTTAATAACATGTATCTATTACTGTTCTTGTGAAATAAAGCACTGGTTAACATGCTTTTATGTAAAAAAAACAAAAAAAAAACATTTAAAACTTGAATGTTTTATTTCATTTAGTTTTATTGTGGATTGGTTGGTGTATTTTCTTGAAAACTAAAAATATGTTTAGTGGCAGCTTTAAGAAAAAAACAAACAAACACATCAACTGGTTTAAGGGTTATTGGCAGGTATGACGGTTAGTTTGAAGACCCTACCAATAGTTGGAGCCAACCACTTCGGAGTGTATTCACTATATGCACAATGCTGCCAGATTAGATGAGAAAAAAAAAACAAAAAACTGAACCAATTTTTCTCTCTAAACTTTCCTCCTTTCTGATGTTCTCTCTTAAATCGCTTCTACTGCTAAAACGCTGTTCCTGAGATGTGTTATCTCCATTAAGCTTTGTCATAACTTGTCCTTGTCTTTTCTCTTCTAGCTGTTTGGGGAACGTATACAAACATGAGGTGAAAGTGGTTATTTTTCTATCACACTTCTGCTTGATGTAAAATATGCATGTCACATGTTTCGAAATCAGTTTATCATTGTTTTTTTGTTTTTTTTTTGTACATCAAGATTAATTTTAAGTGCACCTTCAGTTTTATTTGTTGTCTTATTTAAGTCAGATGTAATTGATGGTTTTTGCTGTCGACAACTAAGAAAAGCTTTTGCTTCTTCTTCTGTTCTTTGTTTTTTCACTGTGAATTTAGCAAAAAATATTCACTGGTAAACTTAAAACTTCTCATTTGCTTGATCAGTGCACTTTCTACATTACACAAGCAACTGAACTCAGTCTTCCTTCACCATTCCGGCTAAATGTTAGATTACAGTACATACTGATTTATCTAATTTCCCAATTTCTGAACATTGGCTTTCCCTTAAAACACGACAGGCTTTTTGACGGGAATTTCCTGTATTATCATTGTTGGTAACAGAATAATAGGGAGAAAGAATTTAAAGTCACTATAGATTTTCTGCCGTATGTGTTACGTAAAAGCCTCCACTGTGACAAAATGGGCTTGGGATGATGGATATTGTTCTTATCTCGCGTAGGAAAAACTTGCTCATGTCTCAATATTTTCTTTCCTTATCTGTTTGCCTTATCATTTTTTTGTGGAATAGGTCAATACAAGAAAATGGAGATGTGAAGATTGAGCAGAAAATTGATGAAGTAAGTTTGACAAAATCTTTGCTATTTGTTGTTCTTTGATGGTTTAAAAAACGTCTTAGCAGAAAGGTTAAAAAGCTGCAGTGCTACAACAACAAAGCAAGTTGCTCAGAAAGTATTTGATTTGTGAGGAAAAAGTTTTTTTTCTTTCCATGCTTTCTATTTTGTTTTTTAAAACACAAACGAAGCAATCTACATTTCACCTGGAATTTGAAGAAGAAATCTAAAAACCCGCAGAGCGAACCCTGTTAGCGAATATTGTGGCCGACGTCATCAAAAAGCCTCGGCTACATCTGGAGTGGATGCAGCACCGGCTTGTTTTTATCAGCTAAATTAATGTCGTCCGCTGTAGCGCTGCAGCAGTCACTTTGCTCTGAGAGAAGCCACGGGCTCACATCTGTGGCTGAAGAGCATTTTTATCCTTTCGCAGGCTGCCTTGTTGTGACCTCACACACAGCACTTAGAGGTTAAACTTTCTGCTTTCATTTTTATCCTGAGTCGGTCTAAATAAAACCCATTTACAGCCAGTAATGTTACATGCCCTTTAGAAGACAAACATTAGAAGACAAGCGAAACGTTTGCAAAAGCAGCGGATACGTTTTCTTGTATTGGATCTTTATTTGTAGAAAAAGATGTAGAAAACACATAAGCCTCATTTCTACTACATGGTGCGGCTAAAACCTGATGACTGGAAAAATAGATCTAAAAACAAGTTTTTAGTGGGTTTTTTTAAGTGTTCTGTTGTGAAGTTTAATTCAGTGAAAAACAAAAGAAAAACACATTTGTTATCACATCTACTTTTAAAAACATCAGCTAGTTCTTTATCTTTATTTTGCTAAAGGAGCCACAGGATGCAGAACCCTGGAATAACCCAACACATGTCTGTAGCATCTGGGCTTTTTGTCGTATGCTTTATTTATTAAAACACAAATTATTACTTCGAATTTTGCAGGAACAAAATACTAACAGTTTGACGCTTTCATTAGAGTGAGTTTGTATTTGAAATTTTGCACAAGTTGATTGCAGGTAAACAGAAACCAGATTGTCAGTAAAATGCTGATGACTGGATGACGCAGATACACTATAACTCTCAAAAAGCCAGCTGCAACTGCTCAGAGGAGTTCAGGGTGACATGAAGTGATGCAATAAAATCAGCCAGCCAGTCGTTGATAGTAATCACAGTGAACGCTGGCCCTATGTAAGCCAGAATATCAATTTTCAGTTTGGGATTTTAGATGCATCCCTTGGATTGATTAGTAATTTATTAGCAATTCTTTGAAGTTTTGATTGAAACCGTTGCCCAAGATTCTCCGACGGGTTTTCACACAGCGGTGAACACAGTTTTACTTCTGACCTGCTAAAACACGACTCTCGCATCATCTTCAACAGAAATAATTACTTTATCACGCTGACCTTAGAACTTTAAAGAGTTGGCTTGCCTTTGAAATAATATTTCACATCTGCCTGTGATGCATGTAATGCAGCTTTGGCTTTATTTAGAAGTACAAACACACAAACTGATGATGACTCAACACCTCCATAATTGCAAGAGATATGTCTGCACACAGATTTTACATGTTTGAGCATTTAAATTAAACGCCAATGAGGATGTCTGCCAGTTCCAGATGGCATCAATTCACAGGTTGGAAATATTTTCACTGAAGTTAAATTATTGAAAAAAAACAAAATCAGAAACTTGATTATCTTTTTTTGTTTTAAAATATTGTGAAATGCCAGATAGAAAACAGCAGATAGTAATTTTACTCTGCATACTAAAGGCACTTATGGGTAACTTATGCCATTTGTCTGATTTTAATTTTAGAAAAAATTCTAGCCCATTCTCTCCCATTTTATCAAATATTTTGGTTAAAAAAGCCTTGAAAAAGCCTCACCGATTAAAAATTCTTGTATGACACCATTTAGTTTAGTTGGTATGAAAAAAAAAAAGTGATGGTGAAGATGTGGATAAGTCGGAGGCATTGTGAGAATACTTTGACAAAAAAAAACTAGTCACAGTTACGTCGTAGATTCATGTCTGCTCTAAATTAAAATAATAATTACGTTTTTAGTTGGTTTTTTTTTAATTAATCTAGACTAATCAAGCTTGAGCTGATAAATCATTAAAGCACTGCTGTTCCCATTTTTGTACCTCCATATTCATTTATTACAAATATGAGAACTTGGATAATAATTCATATAGTTCCCTGCTTTTTCACTGCTACCAGTTCTGATGTAATTCTGTTTATCTTACATTCACTTTTTGACTTTCTCAAGTAAGGCTGACAGTATTTTTGTATTAGTGAAAATAAAATGTACTGGTTTTGCCATTTTCTGTGCACAAATCAAAGCTAATCCATAACTGACTTGTTCGGTGTTGTTGAACAAAGAGCTGAAATGCTGTTTGAATTCTGAGGAAAAATAATGCAGAAGTTGCACAGATGTATCTAACAATAGCCTGTCTGATCACATTCTCCCAGTCAAAAGAGTACATTAACATAAAAACTGGGGACTCTGTTCATAAACCTGCATTAGCTTCCTGTTGTGGTAATCAGTGTAATTTGTGTTATGCGCTGAGAAGAACTGATGCATTTCTTGCTTTCCAACTTTCTTTAGGCTGTGGCTCCTTTGAGAGAGAAGATTCGTGACCTGGAACAGAGGTGTGGATCTCCATTTAATCACAGCTCGTCGTATTCAGAGCTTTTCATCAAATCTGCTTCCGTTTTAAGTAATAACAGACGATGTTATCTTAACCTTGCGCGTGGCTTAGAATGACGTTGACAGGGAGCAGTGACAGAAACGATCGACTGAAACCGATGTGAATCAGATGTCATCCTTTGCTTGATAAAGATATCTGTTAATCTTTGATGTCTTGAATTTTAATGACGTCTGCATTATTAGGAATGCAGAAGCAATTCTTTACATAGTACAGCCTTCGTCCCGGCTCTATGCAGCGCATCACAAAACGAGGTGACCCTTTGAACCTTTGAAACAGTATGTACGATGTATGAGGCTTGGTTTTGTGGCTGTGTGGGCACAAGCTTAGCAAAGATTGAAGGTCCTGCTTTCCTGTAGTCGTGCAGCTGCTGCTGATCAGCTCTTGCACTTTTACAGGTTCCTAAAGCATGTTTGCCATGAATGCTGATGAGGTGGATTTATAGGTCATTATTTATTTATTTATTTATTTTCTAATTATTATTTTTGACCGCTTGGTTTATTTTGTCACAATAAAGCACACGCATATCTGTGTTTCCTTAGCGTCTCGATTTACATTCGCTGCATCTTTGCGGTGAATGTAAATGAAAGAAGAGAATGTGGATTAAAAATAATTGGCGTTGTATTCAGGAGCTCCCTGCTGATATGTGCTTGATTCCAAAGTGCAAAGGAGGAGAAAGAAAAAATAACCTCTGCTTTTCTTCACTTATCTCTTTAATCTATTGGGGGTTTTTTCTGAACACCACTTTGAATTGTAATTATGTTGTTGTTTTGCTCTGTTTTCTTGTTCTCGTTTTGGGTTTCTTTAGATGTTGTGTAATTAAACACCTGGTCTTTTCTTCTAGCTTTTCACAGAAATATCCACCGGTGAAATTTCTCTCAGAAAAAGATCGAAAAAGAATTTTGGTGAGTGAAAGAAAACATCAATTACAAATGTGCTATTTCACTTTCAAATACTGTCTTTTTTTTTTGCTTTTATTGAGGTCACATCTCTAGATTGTTATTGGCAAACTCCAAAAAGCCTTAAGCCCAGTCTCACTTTTATCCTGCTTGGATTTAAACTCCAAACATAAGAACTTAGGCAATTAATCTGTGCTTCCTGAGGTGCCATGACATGCCATACATTGATGTTTGGAAAGCTGAATGCTGCTTCTGTCTCTGACCATCATACGCCTATTGGATCATTGATGTTTCCTTTCAAATAGAAGTTTGATTGTAGCGCATGTTTTGTCAGCAGTAGACCTGCACAATATGTTACAAAGTTTTAGTTAGTACTGTTCACTCATGCTCTTTTTTGCAGAAATACATTCGGTGTCAATTATTTAAGCAGCTTTGAAGGTGAAGAAGTGAACAGCAGATGTGACATTTTTCAATTAAATTTCATTGTTGAGGTGTAAATATATATGTATATATTAATAACTATATAGAAAATCCATTATCTGGGACCTAGTCATGGGAAGTCATGCAATTATCAAAAAGTTCACCAACATTATGTTTCAAATTTAATTTGAAACATGAACACAAAATGTTTTGTTGCAAAATAATAGCATTCTGTTTTGCAAATGTGTGTTTGTGTTACTATTGGAACAAATGCAAAAGTTAAATTTCACACTTAAAAACAGTCCCAAACATTCGGGTCGCTCCCAGTCTTTGAAATGACATAAATGTGAAATTTAACATATTACATTGTGGTTCACATGCTTTGAAGGGTCGTGACAGGGCACCCAAATGAGTTAATCACCCCATTACAGCTGGCTCAGAGGTTAGTGATGTATATCATGAAAACAAAAACTCACTCAAGTGTCCCAAACAGTCTATAAACTAATAAACAGCACTTAGTCTTCTGTGAAACTCCACCGGCATGTCAGAGCAGGGCAGAAAGAAAGTGCAGACTGATCCTCTGAGCAGTCAGGCAGAGGTCACATTAAAGTGCCTCAGCTGTGCAAGTCAGTCTGTTAATGTGGCTGCAACACTTGAGGCTTATGCCTCATATAAAGTGAGATCTATGTGTTACTCGGTCAGCCCTAATCAAGATATTCATTGCAGGATGTCACTAAAAAGCACCAGAGGGGAGATTCACACATGAAACATTTTGCCAGACTCTCAGAACGCAGTGACCGCACGAATAGGCCTTAAACTGACATCCACCTGAATGCAGGTTTTTCCATCAGAAGATTGTTTTGTAACGAAACTCACTTTACCTGTTGGTGGTAGTAAAGCTAAGGCTGACTAGTTCATTAAAGAAGATCTGTTTTGGCCTAGAGCCATTCTGAGGCAGATCTATAAAGCATCCTGTAACAGTTTTGTAGTTTCTACACCCAATTAAAGCCTCTGAGGAAGAAACTGCTGTCCGTCATTGTGGCTCCAACTCAGAATATTTTCTTAAAAGTTCAAAATTTCCCAAAAATATTCACTTTTTTTTATAATTATCACTACTATGGTGACTAACAAAATTACACAAACTTAGTACAAATAAATAACTTTTCTCGTGATTTTGGTAAAACGTACGTCCTGTCCTATCTATTTAATAGATATCTATTTAACTTTGTTTGTCGTAAGGTTTAGACCAGTATGACATCAATGTTTTTTATTATTATTATTCTTATTATTTTAATGGCTGTTGAATTAAATCTTTGTTTTTTGTGGAATATGAAATAATAATTTAATGGATTTTTAAAGAAATTTATTACAAATTTTATGAGGTGGAAGAAAGTTGTTTTTTTTTTTTTTTTTAGTAGAACCAACTGACAAATTTTTATGTTTTTGGAAAATGAAGAAACAATGAAATATGAAAAGCTAATGAAATTGAAGGACTTATATCGTTCCTATTAGACTTCTAGTTTACGACAAGGTTGTTTATTCCTGTAATCTTTTTGGCCTAACTTTTGAAAAGCCTCACATGGCACTGATGCTGCACATTTTAGACCTTTTTACCCAAGACCACAAACCTCATCCAGTCATCCAGTGTCCTTTTTTCAAGTAGCAAAGGAGGAAAAAGATTGACATTTAGGTAAAAAAATAAAGACTTAAGTTACAGCATAAACCTTCTTCAAAATAAAAAAAAAAACATCTTGCACGTTTAAACAACATAGTTTGGGGGTGTGAGGCTTCAATAGCCACGAGAATATGTTTGGACCTCAAGAACATAGACAGAAACAAAACAGTAAATACTGATCAAATGTAAAGGTAAAATGTGTAAAAGTGTTCAAAGGACTCAAAATATGACCAGTTTTTATTGGCCTGTAGATTTGATCCTTCTGGATAATATATCCAAGCTCAACCAGCTGATGCGGTAGAGAACAGGGCCACAAAGTCATTTTTATTTTTACCCAAAATAAAGACATCATCAAACATCCTGTATGAGCTTTCAGTAGGGAATGTGGATGTTTGCAACATGTCCTGTTTTTCTGACCTTGACACAGGCTGCCTTTCAAAGGTTGCCTCTTTCAAGTGGATTCAGTCAGAAAGGTTTTGAGTCAAAGGGAAACTGATGTTTTCTCCTGTTCACCACATGCAGTTTTAGGCTTTCTGCTAATGATCAACCAGTCTGGCTATCTAGAATATGAAAAATCAAAATGCCTGTTTCTTTTCAGAGGAAAGTATTTCTCATGTATTACTAAAAATATGTAAAAAAAATGTCAAGTTATTCTATTTCCATGTTGGGAAATACTGTAGCAAAAAGGTAAAGGACATATGGAGCCATTCATTAAAAGCAAAACTTGTATTTTGCAAAACGCTTCTGAACCACCAGGTTTATATCGGTTACCATGGAAACTGTACGCCAAAGAAAGGGGGCAGTTTGTGGACAGAAAATGAAAAGTAGTTTTTAAAATAATAGGAACAATGTTCAGTAAAAGCAATGCACAGATTAAAAAAAAAAAAAAAAACTTTGACCACCGTTGTTTCTTTTGACATCTTTGACTGGTCCAGTGGTTCTAGTAGGTATTGCACAACACGCTGCGTGCGCCCTCTTGAAATCTCTAACATTCAGAAGCATAATATGTCTCTCAGTCCAGGGTTAGTGACCTGTATATGTATTTTTATGCAAAAGGATATTCTAAAATACAAAAGGAAAATACCAAATCATGTGTCATTGTTTAGACAGACGGAAGTGATTTATCCTGGATGGTAGAAAAATTTTACAATAAACATTTCTTTGGGGCTAATGGACTACTTTATTTTGATATATTCTTTTAAAACAAAAAGATCATAGCTTCCAAATTGTTGAAAGTCAAATTCTGCAGCTGTTTTATGTTTTCGGAAAATTATTGATCTGAAATTTCATGTATGTTTTTATTTTTATTGTTTAATATAGCTTGCGTTTTAGTGCTTTCTAATTGAACTGGCTGATAATAAGAGACGTATCTGTCTGGTTATTCCTGCTCTAGATCACAGGAGGGGCTGGGTTCGTGGGTTCCCATCTGACTGACAAACTGATGATGGATGGCCACGAGGTGACCGTGGTCGACAACTTCTTCACAGGGAGAAAACGAAACGTGGAGCACTGGATCGGTCACGAGAATTTCGAACTCATCAATCATGATGTGGTGGAGCCGCTTTATATAGAGGGTGAGAAAACTCAGGCATGTCATGATGTATTTGACTTAACTCTACCTTTTGCTCAGTTCTTTCCTCTGAGCTTAGATCATGAAGCCAACTATTCAAGTTTTATAAACTTTATGAGGAGCGAAGAAAAAAAATCTCTAATAGGTGAAAGACAGCAATTGAATCTAATGGCAAGATGTACTATTCATTAGCATTTAATTACATAGCGTTGTCTGATTACTGTAATTTTGTGCACCTAATGTGTTTTTTTTATGATGAAAACATATTTCATTTGAAACCCTCACAACCTTGTATAATTTCTCTACTGATTTCTGGGTAATTTTCCATCTGTTTACTTCCGTTGTGAAAATAGTCACCATTATTATTCATCTGTGACCCTCCTTTCATAGTAAATAGCTCTCTGCTTTGACAAAATGCTCCATAGAAGCCGTCTTAATGTGCAAATTGATACGAGATTAAAATTGTTACATTAATTTGATCTCTTATGTCAATTTTTGAGCAAGTTTTACCAACAGATGCATGTTCTGTGCACCTTTTTATGAAAGTATTCAGTGTAGGAGCATGGCTTTTTTTTTTCTCTCTCTCTTGATGTGCAGCCTTTCCTTCCATGTCTAAATAAAACTCATTTCACTGCAGAAAGTGACTGTGGGATTTCTGCAGCTTCCATTTCCTAGCAAGCTTGAGCCTTTATGGGCTCCCAGTTGTTCTTTAGCATCCAAACAGATTTTCTTTCTTTTAAGGGAGAAAGTTGAACTCATATTGAAGATATTTGGACACAATTTGGTGTTTCTCTAGGAGATTTATCCAAAATACACAGGAAAAAAAAAAAAAGTAGTCACGGAATGGATAAAGCAGGCTCACATTAAAAGTCTCTAGATCAGC